TCATTGCTGGGGTGATTTAGCTCTGGCCTATCAAAAGCCACGTTGTCCTTTAAACTCCGCACCTTGTAGCTTAGGGCGGGCGGGAAAACAGACAAAATGGAGTTGGAGGGAAGGGAGAGGGAAGATGTTATAACATTGTAACAGGGAGCCCTGGTGGCAGAGTGGGTTATGCATGGGCTGTTAACCACAGAGTCAGGGTTCAAATCCACCAGCCACCTCTGCAGAAGAAAGATGAGGCTTTTTGTTCCCATAAAGGTTTATGAGTCTGAACTGAATCAACAGCACTCAAGAGAATCCTGACCCTTGACTGGATGTGAGCATCTACAACAGCCCCTAACTTCACTTGAATTATGGAAGTAGAGGGGTGTGTGTGTGTGTGTCTGTATCTGTGTGTGTTGTTGTTAAGTGCTGTCGAATCGATTCAGACCCATAACAACCCTGTACATGGTTTCCAAGGCTGGGCTGTAAATCTCTATGGGAGCAGAAAGCCTCATCTTTCTCCCATGGTAGTTTCAAACTGCTGACCTTAAGGTTCGCAGCCCAATTCGTAATCACTATGCTGTGGGCACCCTTTAATGTCACACTCAGCCACCAAGTCAAGAAAGAACCCCTAGCCTGGGGAAGTTTTAAAGTGATTCAGATAATTTGGCTCAGGAGAAATCTATGTACTTGATTTTTTTTTTTCCTCCTGGTTTAAAGCTATAACACAAGCTCATTGTAAATATATGTGGTTTTTTTGGGTTTTGTTTTTTTTTTAATGTGAGAAACCGAACAAATATAGTATAAGAAAGAAAATGAAAAGCATTTGTGTGCCCACCCCTGGAGATAATCTCTGTTGGCATTTCGGTGGATTTGAGATTATATGCACATGCCATTTTCTTTGCTTCATTCTCACAGAGTCTACAATGAGCATTTTTCTCTTGTCATTACTCTTTATAAACCCATGGAAAGGCCTAGTACCACCATATTGTACCATAGTTGGCTTAACTTGTCCTCTATTGTTGGACATGCAGGTGGCTGCCAGTTTTTCCCTATTGTTTATCATGTGTCTTTGTGAACACATCTTTGTGCTTGAAGTGCTCCGCAGTCCTACTTAAAGGCACGATCCACGGGCCAGGGAGAGGTAATCTGGGGACAACTCAATGTGGTTGTATTATTTCAGAGGCTCAGTCGGTTGTTTTCAGAAGCTTGTACTTTGACCCAGAGAGGGTAGCTGGCAGGAAGGGAGGGTAGTTTGGATCTAGCTGCCCCTGCCTCCTTTGGACAAACCAAAACCAACTGCCATTGACTCATGAAATTTACTGATGAACTCTTTTCCTGATGCCTCATGGTGACCCCATGAGTGTCAGAGTAGAGCTGTGGTCCGTAGGGTTTACAATGAGTGACTTTGGGGCAGTAGACAATCAGGACTTTTGTTCAAGATGCCTCTGGGTGAATTCATACCTCCAGCTTTTTGATTAGTAGCCAAAAGCAGTAACCATTTGTATCAGCCCAGGGATTTCTGCTTTGACAAGCACCCTGTAAATGCTTCCATGGTCCCCAGAATCCCAGGACCTGAATCCTGGTCACAAGTATCCATCTTCTTGCCAAGGCCTCCTGGTGAGGCAGGGCACAGGGCAGGAGAGATTTGATGTATTTCTCAGGGTCCTGGGACTACCTCCCCTCCATTAGGCCACTGTCTGCCTCTGGGGCACAAACTAAGACCAACTAGAGGAGATACAGGGAGCTCAGTGCCTCCATACAATAAGCACTGGACTGCAAACCATAAGGTCCTCAGTTTGAGCCCTCCAACCACTCTGTGGGAAAAAGATGAGGCTTTCTGCTCCCATGAAGATTTTAAACCTCAGAAACTCTATACAGGGTCATTATGAGTCAGAACTGACTCGATGGCACTTACAACAACAACAAGAGGAGGTATACAGCAATCAAATTGACTACATATGTGGGAAGAGACAAAGGAGAAACTCAGTATCACCACCCCCAAAACAAGGCAAGGGCCGATTGTGGAACAGACCATCAATTGCTCATATGCAAGTTCGGTCTGAAGCTGAAGAAAGTTAAAACAAGTCCATGAGAACCAAAATACAATAGTTTTGATGTATTACACACTACTGACCAAAGACCAGATGAATTGTGGGATGACATCAAGAACATATCCATGAAGAAAGCACAAGATCATTAAAAAGATAGGAAAGAAAGAAAAGACCAAAGTGATGCCAGAAGAGATTCTAAAGCTTGCTCTTGAATGGAGAGAAGCTAAAGTAACCGGAAGAAATGATGGAGTAAAAGAGCTGATCAGAAGAGTTCAAAGGGCAAGTCAAGAAGACAAAGTATCATAATGAAATGTGCAAAGACCTGGAGTTAGAAAACCAAAAGGGATAAACACTCAGTATTTCTCAAACTGAAAGAACTGAAGACAAACTTGGAGCTTTGGGTTGCAATATTGAAAGATTTTGTGGGCAAAATATTGAATGATGCAAGAAGCATCAAAAGATGATGGGAATAATACACAAAGTTGCTGTACCAAAAACAGTTGAAATACTCAATCATTCAAGAGGTACCATGTGATAAAGAACCAATGATATTGAGTGAAGAGGTCCAAGCTGCACTGAAGGCATTGGTAAAACACTAGGCTCCTGGAATTGATGGAATACAAATTGAAATCTTTCAACAAATTGATACGGCACTGGAAGCACTCACTCAACTATGCCAAGAAATTTGGAAGATAACTACCTGGCCAGCCAATCAGAAGAGAATCACATTTGTGCCCATTCCAAAGAAAGGCGACCCAACAGTATGAAGAAAACATAGAACAATTTCATTAATGTCACATGCAAGTAAAATTTTATTCAAGATAATTCAAAAACAGTTGCAGCAGTACAGTGTCAGGGAGCTGCCAGAAACTCAAACCAGATTCAAAAGAAGATGTGGAACTAGAGACATCATTGGCTAAAAGCAGAGAATACCAGAAAGATGTTTGTGTTTTATTGACTATTCAAAGGCAATTGACTGTGAATCATAACAAACCAGAGAAAACATTGTAAAAAATGGGTATTCCAAACACACGTGATGAACCTATACATAGATCAAGAAGCAATCATTCAAAGAAATCAAAGAATACTGAATAGTTTAAGATCAGGAAAGGTGTGTGCCAAGGTTGCATCCTTTTACCATATTTATTCAATCTGCATGCTGAGCAAATAACTTGAGAAACTGAATTATATGAAGAAGAGTGCGGCATCAAGATTTGAGGAAGACTCTTTAACAAGGTTGTTAATATGCAGATGAAATAATTTAGCTTGCTTGAAACAAAGAGAACTTGAAATACTTACTGATGTATTTCTTCAATATGGGTTGCTCCTCAGTGTAAAGAAAACAAATATCCTCACAACTGGACAATAAATAACATCATGATAAATGGAGAAAAGATTGAAGTTGTCTAAGACTTCATTTTGCTTTGATCCATAATCAATGCTCATGGAAGCAGCGGTCAAGAAATCAAACCAAGTCATTAGGCAAATCTTCTATAAAAGACCCCTTTAAAATGTTTGGCAGCAAAGATGTCAGTTTTAGGATTAAGGTGCTCCTGTGTCAAGTCATGGTGTTTTCAGTTGACTCATATGTTTGTGAAAGTTGGACAAAGAATAAGGAAGACCTTAGACAAATCAATGCATATGAATCATGGTGTTGGTGAAGAATATTGAAAGTACCATGGACTGCAAGAAGAACACACAAATCTGTTTTGGAAAAAGTACAGCCAGAATAATCCTTAGTACAGGAGGACTTTGAACATATTGTCAGGATGGACTAGTCCCTGGAGAAGGACATCAAGCATCAAAAAGTGAAGGGTCAGCAAAAAAGAGGAAGACCCTCCCAATGAGATGGATTAACACGATGACAGCAACAGTGGGTTGAAGTGTAACCACAATTGTGGGGCTGGCACAGGACTAGGCCACGTTTTGTTCTGTTGTGCATAGGGTCACTCTGAATTGGAACCGGCATTCACAGCAACAGATTACATTATGTAAGGTGATACATTGCATTGCATTAGATTTCATTGTAGAACAGCAACTTGCGTAGTATTTGACCAAACAACTGGGAATTGTAGCTTAGCCAAATTGACACACAATTAACCATCACAGGCTGCATCAGGGATGGAACCTCACTGTACCTGACTTCCAAATCCATGAGTCTTACACTCCCATGCCCCTCAAGTCCACTCTTGTAAGTCCTATCTTCCTGGTGGGGAGGGCTACAGGCTCAGAATCTGCCCTTGGGGTTCAGAAGAGACTGGTTCTGCTGTGAATGTACCCAGGGCAGCTCAGGTACAAGCCCAAGCTGGTGAGGCCTCTGCCTGGGGCACCCTCATCTCCCCACCTGAAGAAGAGAGTCCCACTAAGACCATTGTTGTTGTTAAGTGCCATCAAGTCGGTTCTGACCCATAGCAGCCCTGTGTAGGGTTTCCGAATAGCCACTGGTTAGCTTGAACCGCCGACCTTGCGGTCCAGCGCATTAACCCATAGCGAGCGCCACACCAGGACTAAGACCATAGTCTCCTGCATTTTTGACCCCCAAAGAGGAGGGACATACTGAGGCCTTATATTTATGACCACAGTGAGCAGTAGTCTGTTTCCCATCTTCTCTCATCATTGTATCCCCAGCATCTAGTACAGTGCCTGGCATATAGTGGCTGCTCAGTAAATATATTTTGGATGGATAAACAAATGAACCCATTCTATGAGGTAAGTACTACTAGTATCCCCACCCACAGACAAAGAAACAGGGACTCTGAGAAGTTAAGTAGTTGACTCAAGGTCCCACAGCTGGTAAATAGCAAAGACAAGTTTCGAGTGAGCCTGCAGAGCCTGCGCTCTTAACTACTTCTCGCTCTTCATCTGGTGCTGGCCTCAGCATCGTTGTTGTCTTGTTCTCTCTGCAGGCTCTCTGAGGACTGGTCAGCTGGCCCAGGCTGCCCTCCCTGGCAGCTGTCTCCCTGAACCATGGAGAGTCTGAGTGAACTGCAGAACCCACTGCTGCCTCGGAGCCCTGCCCGCCTCCATGGCCCTTACCCCTACCCTGAGCCTTCACCCAGCTGGTCCTGCCAGGAGAAGCTCTACTCCTACCTCCTGGGCCATGCTGGCCCTGCACACACCCACCAGCTCCTGGATCCTGGGTCCTTGCAGCTGGCCGTGGAGGCCTGGTACCGGCCCAGCTGCCTCCTGGGGAAGGACAAGGCCAAGGATCCCAGGGCAGGCAGCTGTGAGACCAGCTTCACAGAGGGCAGGGAGTCCCAGGCTGGACCCACAGAGCGGTCCCTAGAGCCGGGTCAGGCTGAAGAGGATGTCACCATCCAGACTGTGTCCTATGGAGTTCAAGAGGAGCTGCGAGACCAGGAGGATGACCAGGAAGAGGAGGTAAGTTTTCAACGAGGCTGCAGTGGGAGGTCTCTTACTGTACCAGACATCCAAATCAGCTGGGATGGGTGTTTAAATGCAGATCCCCTAGCTCTATATCTAGATGTTTTGGTTTAATAAGCCTGGGGTGGAGCACAGGAATCTGTATGTTAACAAACATAGAAAGGCACTTTTGACATGGTGTGAACCACATTTTGAAAAACACTAACGTGGATTGACTATTTAATTTTTTTAAACTGTTGTTGTTGTTACGTGCTGTCGAGTCAATTCTGACTCATAGTGACCCTGTGTAAGGTTTCCAAGGAGCAGCTGGTGGGTTTGAACCACCAACCTTGTGATTCGCAGCCCAGTGCTGATTCTATAGCACCACACGAGGAGTTCAAAGTTTTTTAATAGTTCCTATTACTTCTGTTTCTTAATTATTTAAGTAATTTAAGCTCAATAAAGAAAACCACTCCAAGATAACGTGTTAATGTTTTGTTGGACAATCAGTCTTTTTATATTTATGTGTGTATTTCCAACCCCACCCTCAAAAAGAGATCTTGCTGTGTATAGTTGTTATTGTCATGTTGCTGTTGTGTATAATTTAATAACCTTTTTCCTCTAAAACAACACAGGTCAGTGTGTCTTGACATAATTTGATATTTTTCTATAGTGGGATTTTTAATGGTTACGCTTTGCCATCATTTATTAACTCAGGGTCAGGTGGACATGTAGGTTGTTTCTAATCTTTACAATTACTATCCAGTGTTGAACTTATCTATACTTGCATTCTTCTCTTGTGACAGTTTCCTAACAATGGAATGATTGGGTCATTGTTAAGACTTTCTTAGAGAGAACCAAACCCAATTTACACTCCCACTAAAGAGTTACGTTCTGTTGTGCAGAGGGTCGCTATGAGTCGGTACCAATTCAGTGGCACCTAACAACAACAACAACAGTCTGTCGTTCCACTGGGATTACCTTTTTTAAAAAAAAACTTCTAGTCTGATAAGGACAGGTTGACCTTTGGCCTGGTCAGGAAACCCCACCTATGTTTTGCAGAGTGATGCAACTTCCACAGAGAGTGAGAGTGAAGACAACTTCCTCACGCTGCCTCCCAGAGATCACCTAGGACTCACCATCTTCTCCATGCTCTGCTGCTTCTGGCCACTGGGCATTGCTGCCTTCTACTTCTCCCAGGGGGTAAGAGTACCTGGGGCCCCGGCTCCTACTCTGTCCATCTCCCCTCTCCTGGAGGGTTTAGCAGAAGTGTATACAGGAGGGGAATGGGGTCTAGCAGGCTGGGGCTGTTGTGGGAACATTTCCTTTCATCAGAACTTCTTCCTCCCTAGACAAGCAAGGCCATCTCCAAGGGGGACTTCCGCCTGGCCAGCACCACCTCCCGCCGCGCCCTCTTCCTTGCCACTCTCTCTATTGCCGTAGGGACTGGTCTCTATGTGGCTGTGGTGGTGGCTTTAGCAGCTTACATGTCCCAGAATGGCCATGGCTAGTGGCCAGGTGGACCTGGCTCCCAGACTCCCCTGCTCCACCTGAGGAGGCACCAGGACTTGAGGGTGCAGACTCAGTCCAGGGGCATGAACCCTGGTCCCGAAGACAACCTGCGAGAATGGCTTGTTGCAGGGAGGCCTCCCAGCCTGTGGCACACAGGGCTCGCCCTTCACTTCTTGCCACGGCTCCCAACCCAAAGCAGGGCCAGTGGCACCACTCTGTAACCCAGGCTGCAGATGGGAAGCAGGAAAGGGTAGGGCTGCCCACCAGGCCACCCACACAGGGCCTACCTCTAACTGGGGGCAGGTTCGAGGTTCTATTGATTCTCTAGAAGGTCTCGTGCCCTGCAGACAGCCCACCACCCAGCTCTCAAGGCCAGGGGACTTGACCCAGTCCACTCCATCAATGGGAAGCAGCTCCATCTGGGGACAGCCTGAACTTCCCCTAACTCCCCTCTAGCCCCATGATACACAGACCCCAGCAGCCAGCAGAGAAATACATGGAGACACAAGAGCCCTTACTCTTTCTGATTCTGGGGAAATGCTTATCTCTCCTATGGACTTATGATGAATCACTGGGATTCTAGACAGAGCTGAGGAGTCCCCGTGACAGGCGGAGTGCAGTAACAGAGAGACTGGAAGGCCCTGAAGTAGTGCTGGATTCCAGGGGCTCCCCACTTTACCCTGTTCCCCATTCCATCATCCTGTCCTAATGGGGGGACCCTAAGCTGGAGTCATCCTAGGGAGATTGTGAGACAGTGCCATCAGTCACCAGGTGCTGAGCCCAGAACCCTCTGCCTAGTGTTGGGGGAGTGGTGAGTAGACCAGGGAGGGGCATAGGACAGGTGTGGCCTGCCGAGTATCCCTCAGTGCTCACAGAAGCTTCCTGGAGGAGGTGGCCTAGAAGGATGAGTAGAATTCCTCTAAGAGATTTGTTTTCACAGAATCTTTAGTAATTGTGGACAGGGGCCTGCCAGAGGCCCTCTAATAGTTTGGATTCTGTCTCTGGCATCTGGGCTGGAATCTCACTGCAGTCATCTCTGGAGGTTGAGGAGGAAGCCCAGCCTATCTCTCAGAAAGCAGTGCTGGTTCCCCACCTCTGAATGCTGGACACTGGTGGATAGGCCCTGGGTTCCTGCAGAATGAGTCTGGCCCGGGCCCCCTGGCCAGCCTTGGGACTTAACTTCTTCACAGATGCTTCCACTCAGAGCTGCTCTCAACACCCCCAGACACAAGGACATTCCCACCCAAAATTTTAGAGATGCCCACGCAGGCCAGGGTAGCACCTCAGGAGGGTAGATCCTGTTATGCATAACTCGGGGCCTGGTCATCTCCATACCCCTCCAGAGTCCAGGGCTATTGACCCAATGCTTGTCCAACATCCTCCTGCCAGGTCCCCAGTATTTTGAGTGCTGTCCAGCCCTCCTCCACTACTTGCATCCCCTGACGTTCCAAGGGCCCAGGAGCAATGGTTTTAATGCCCCCTATTGTATATATTTATCCTTGTAATAAACATTTCTGTAACACCTGTGCCCTTTAGGCTTCATGTTGTCCTCACTTTTGCCTGTGTGGGGGGAGGAGGGAGATGACCTTGTCTAGAAATACGTATGAGTGTTCCCAAATACTTATGAGCGTTTCCAAACAAGGTCATTCTTACAGGTGCAAGAACTAGGCCTTCCCCATTTCTTAAGATGGGGGGACACAATTCAATTCATAACATACTCCCTTATTCATAAGTCATTAGATGTGGGTTGCCTAGAAGGGGGGTGTGACCTCAGGCAAGATGGCTTTCTCCAGCTAAGGCCACCCCCAAATGGGGCTTACTCTGAAGGCTGTCTGCTGACAGTAGTTCTAGGACAGGAGGGCAAAGTTCATCATTCCTTAGGGGACCCAGCACAGCACAGCCCCAACCACATGCCCACTGCCCCCAGTCACAATGAAAGTCTGCGACAAATTATCAAAAGTGCCCGAAGAGCTAATGCCTCCTCGACAGCCTTCAACTCCTGACTGATAGGGAGTTAGGGGATAAATAGCTCAGCTTTCTTGCCTGTTGGAGAGGTAACGCTGGTCTTGCTCCACACCAGCTTCCAGAGATCCCCAATGGAATTGGGCTTCAGTTACCCAGGATGGCTCTTTAAGAGTTGCCTTCTTTCCTTGGTCTTCTTCCTCCTCCCCACACACTGTGCTCCCTGAGATTACCTCCAAGTACTGTCCAGCTGCTATTGAATCTGTGTCTCAGCACCAGCATCTGGGAGAACCCAACCAAGACACACACATGCACATAACATGCTCCCATATATATGGAGACACATGGATAGGCATGTGTACATGGACAAGCACATCTGTATACAGACACACAGTCACACACACATTTGACACTCCCTACACATGCACCAACGCTATAGACACACATTCCAATGCAGACCCACACATGCAGCACATATACTTGAAGGCTGAAGCAGGAAGAATGTGGTGGAGGAGTCTCCTCAGCCCCTGCCTCTGAGCTCAGTCTTGTCAGTAACCTGCCTGACCCTCTGCGCCCCTGGCCAAGCAGGAAGGAGATGGGAAAAGTGAGCAGCGGGCAGCACATATGCCCGTCCATGCCCCACTTAGGTCAGCAGACTATCTCACGGCTCCTTCCCAGGTCTGTGGAACACTAAAGGGGGAGAACACGCATGATTGCCTGGGTTTCAGCCCTGATCCAGCTTCCCCATTGTAATTCCCCACCCCTAACAGCAAAATGAGACTCTGCAGGAGAAAATGAAATCAGAAACGGAGCCCTTGGGGGCTTCCCTCCCACAGACCCATGCTGTAGAGCCTGGATTTGCAGTGATGCCCCCCTCACCCCCCAGGCTTGCCTCTGGGCATGCCCGGAGCACTTTCGACCCCAGCTTTCCAGTTCAGCCTGTCAGCCTGTACCTCCTTCCTGCCCGAGGCTCATGGGAGGCAGGGAGGCACGGGGGCTTACAATTCCTCCCCTTCAGGCTGGCAGGCTAGGGAGGGTCCCCTGGGTAAAGGTGCCCGAGATGAGCTGCAGTACCAGCACATCTGTGCAAATATTACCAATTATTTTCCTCACTATAAACACCCAGCAGGAAGGCAGGGAGGCAACCAACCAGACTGTTTAAAATAGAAACCAAAATTGCTGCACAGGGAAGTTGGGGCAGCCGATACAGCAGGAATCCACTGTCGGTCCCCCATCAGGCCCACATTCTCATCCACTGGCCAGGCAGGAAGGAGATGAGAAAGGTCCTCACCGAGGACATAGGGGTAACCGGGTCCTGGGCAGGAGAGAAAGATGCCTGAGTAGGGCATCCACAGAGGAGCCAGGAGCCGAAGTCACCTGGACCCAGGTCCTGGACAATTGCTAACCAAACTCCCAACTGCCAGCCAGGCCTCAGAGCCACAAGGCTGTGTTGAAGGTGTCGGAGAGGAAGGCCCCTTCTCCATTATACCCCAGGGGCAGGGAGGAACAGTATCCTAGGGGTGGCAGGACAAGGGCTACAGGAGGCTGGGACCAAGAGGAAATAGTTACTCGCCACCTATCCATGAAGGAAACTTGTCTAGTAGGCTAGAAACTTCTAGGGAAGGCTAGAAACCCACTTTAAGGGCTCCCCAGAGCTTCCCAGGTCCCTTCTTCGCCACAAAACAGGGCTGATGGGCAACGCGTCCCCTGAAACAGTCACATGATTATCAAAATGTTAAAACACTTCCATATTGTTGTTGTTAAGTGCCATCGAGTCAATTCTGACCCATAGCGAGCCTGTATAGGAGTAGCTGGTGGGCTTGAACCACCTATCTTGCAGTTCAAATGACTTTGCAGTCTGACACATTAGCCCTCAGCACCACACCAGGACTCCACACTTCCATATGGTGGTGGTGTGCCGTGGAGTTGATTCTGACTTATAGTGACCCTGCATAGGGTTTCCGAGGCTGTAAATCTTTATGGAAGCAGAAAGCCTCATCTTTCTCCCGCAGAACCACTGCTGACCATGATGTTAGCAGCCCGACTTGTAACCACTATGCTATGTTGTTGTTGTTATGTGCCGTGGAGTTGGTTCCAACTCATAGTGACCCTGTACAGGGTTTCCGAGGCTGTAAATATTTACAGGGGCAGAAAGCCTCATCTTTCTCCCACGGAGCAGCTGGTAGTTTCGAACTGCTGACCTTGTGGTTCACAACCGCTATGCTACCAGAGCTCCTTACTATGCTGTGTACTAGTAGGTAAACAAGCCCTGCCCCAAGTCCCCCCACCCCCACCCCATGTTTCCTTTTCCTGCTTCCCTGGCTCCCCCTTCAGGACTAGTGTTAGTAGCTGGCACAGCAGACCATCTCCCTTCAATGCATTGTCTTGATGGGGCAGTATCTCGAAATGTCGTCCCTGCTCAGATCTTACAGTCTCTCTTCTTCCCATCTTCCTGAGGAATGACTCTAGGCAAGACACTCCACACACATACTGGGAAGGTAGGAGACATGGGGAAGGTGTGAGTCCTGGGCTGATAAAGCAGGAAGGTACCTTTGAGGTAATCTAATCCTCAATCGCACATCCTACAGATGAAATTGAGGCCCAGAGAGGGGAGGTGGGTTTCCCGATGTCACACAGTGAGTTATGAGCCAAGCCCAGACCCTGAAGTTGCTGAGCCAGGCTGGCGATGTCTCTGCCTGCTATGAAAACACAGCGTCAACTGTGCTGCTGCAGTGAAAATTCACAAACTCTGCCTTCCCCTCCCAGGCAGTTTCCTGCTCAAAGTCTTTCCCAGCCAGCTCCTTCCACAGGCTGACACCTCAGCCCTTCTATTTTCAGTTGCAATGTGGCAGGGGTGGGGCAGGAGGATAACAGCTCATGTTGGCCTGCCCAATGCTCACGACAGCCAGCAAGCCCTCTGGACCTCTCACATCCTCTCTGGGGCATGGAGACACAGATGTACTGAACAAAGATAAAAGGTGGTGTGCATTTCCAAACACTCCCCCACCTACAGCCTTTGAACAGTTTTTACCTCTCT